ACACAGCAGCAAGACTCTGTCCCAAAACAAGCAAGAAACCCTTTCATTTGTGTGGATTTTTTTTCCCCCGCTAAGGGTTGAGGGGAATTTAAGGTGCTGCTGGAAAGAAAGGCAGCATGGGTGGGTGGTGGCCAGCACAAACAAGAAGGGCCTTCTGTGAAATCCTTTCCTGTGGTCCCAGTCCCTCTGTGGGGTAGAAGACTGACTCAGGAGATAAGTGAGACTGGGTGTGGATTTCCATGTTAGTTCTTTCCTGCAGGCCATTTATTGAATGCTATGACTTGGTGATTACCCATGAGGCTCTGCCCCCTCCCTATCTTGTGTCCAGTTGCCCCACCAGCAGCGTGATATGAGGCTCCGTCTCTGCGGTGCTGGGCTCTGATTAGACCCGCAGGATCTCCTTCCTAGCTCCTGGAAGCTCCCCACCCATTGGCGCACCCACCCAGTCACCTGCTGGCTCACCTGTCCCCCAGGTGTGGTTCTCAACCAAAGGAAATATGCCGTGGTCTGTGTCTGCGTTCTCAGCTCAGAATCGTTTCTCTCTAAAGGTATTAAGGAAGGGCACATTGCATAGCTCTGGCCTTATGCTTCTCGTTTCCTCTCTTTTTTTTTTTTTTTTTTTTTTCGGAATCAGGGATTGGACTCAGGCCCTTGCACTTGCCAGGGAAGCACTTATTCCACTGAGCCATCTCCCTGGCCCCACATTATTCATTTTTGCTTTGTTTTTATTTCTTTTCTATCTTCCACTTAAAGAGTTTTCCTGGTGTTTGTGAGCTCTCTGCTTCCTCTTCATATTTCAAAATTAGAAAAGTGAAAAGCAGTCTCAAAGGTCTGGTGCCACACACAGGGCCCACCAGGCGGCTGTCTGTCCTGGCAGGTGGCATGGCCAGGCTGCCGGCTACCCATTTTTCACTTTAGGGTTTGTGCTGTCCATCGGCTTGTCCATCTTCACGGTGACCGTTCAGCCTGCAGGAGGTCATAGGGGACACAGGGCCTGGCCTCCTGGCTCTGAAGTGAGTCACAAAGGGGACAACAGTGACAACCTGCCTCTTCCTAGAGCCTCTGGGGAATCTTCACACTGTCACTGCACCTGCGCCTCCATTTCCAACTGTCACGGAGCTCACAATTCCTGGGACCCTTCAGACCTCTGCCCATTGAGTTTCCTGTCTCCCCCACCAACCCCAGAGCCAGGTTCACCTGTGTTTGCTGTGGAAGCCAGTTACCACCGCAGCTCCCAGACTTCACAGATGTCTCGTCCCTCTTTTCTTTGCCCTTTTGAAGTCACATCACCTCCTCCTTTCTTTATCAACATACCATGTTTAATGCTATTTCTGGAGAAAAATACAGCAATGTAAGCAAATATGTTTTCCTAGAGCCTAAGTGGATGCTTTATTTGGAGATGTGCATTGGAGAGATGGAAGGGACAATTCTGATGACACTCTAGTGATGCCCTAAAGATAGAAGTGTCCTGGCGCCTGAGGAGCCTGGCTGCCCTCAGGACGTGGCAGCCCTGATGTGAGTCTGTCCAGACTGTCTGTCCATCAGTAGAGAAGGAAAGTGACAGTGTTTTCTATTGGGCAAAGTCAGTGTGAGGATTATGTAAATTAACGAATAGAAAGACCTACCACAGAATTAGCAAAGGTAGCAAGTGCTGCGCTCGCTGGGGCTGTAGATCATTACTGCCAGAGGTTGGTCAGGTGGATGAAGAGCTCTGATCCCCGCAGCTCCACATGTCACATGCACGGGGCCACACCATCAAAGCAAAGCAGACTTTGCTGGGATCCTGGCATGAGCCTATCGTTCTGCTCCTTTCCTTGTTCTCTTAGTTTGGAATCTTGAGGCATGAGTTAGGAAGGCTGCGTCTCTATTTTACAGCCTTGTTTTCTGTGGTTGGCATCATACCATTCAACCAAGTGCACATCCTCGCCTTTAGGAATCCAGCTCAGCCAGAGCTCCCACATCTCCCCAGACAGACGCGGGTGTGGGAAGTCAAGAAGAGGCCTTCAGATGAGATTCGGTTCCACTAACTCAGGCAGACAGATGACAGGAGTCAACGGCTGCGGTCAACAGGCCCGTTAGCATTTCTTTTGTCCAAGAAAGATGTGGTAGGCTCCCGTCATGCCCATCCATCAGCTAGCGGGAGGCAACCTATGTGACAGCCCTCCAAGTGTAGCTCAGCTATCTGGAACCAGACAGGAAGGAGCAGGAAAGTGGCCCTGAGCGGCAGTAGCACAGTGACCAGAGTGGCTCAGATGGATCATTTGGGGACGCTACTACCCTGGAGTTGCGAGGTGTCCCATCTTTTCTACAGTTCAATGTACTTAGGACTCACATCTAACTTTTAAAAGTGGTTGATAGAACTTGCCAGGCACAGTGTGAGCTTTCTAAAAGTTCATTCTTCATTCTTGTGCACATCCGTCCTCACGGCTACCGCACAGTGCACCCAGCTGCACCCCTCAGGTGTGGCTCTCCTTGCCCTGGACAACGCCAGCATCTGGCCCGGAGGAGCTCCTCAGTCCAGTCGTCAGTGACGCTCACAGCTCATTCCCCTCGGGTGATGTGTGTGGTGTCAGATTCCAGGACAGCAGAGAGGGCAGCTGGCTGAGGGGACCAGCCTCCCTTCCAGAACACAGGAAGAGATGCTGGGACTTGACTCAGAAGATGAGAGAGCCGCAAGGGCAGTACCAGGGGAGAGGAACTCACAGTGAGGAGGCTCACAGGGGAAAGCCAGAGGCTCTTGGAGACCGGCGAGCGGGCTGCAGACGAAGCCCAGGACTCCGAGGGGTGAAGGAGGGCAGGAATGATGCCGGGGACATGGACAGGGCAGTGGTCCTGGAGCTGCTCAGTCCAGTGACCTCATGGCCAGATGTCTCCAGTCCGTGAGAGGGCAGGAGTAAGATTCAGGCCGTGCGCACGTAGTACCTAGCGTGCCTGTCCTGTGTGGGAGCAAATAGTGTGGCAAGCAAAAAGCAAAACCACAAACACAAGACCAACACAGGACCGTACACCTGGGCCTTCCGCTCCCACCCGTGGGCTCACAGAAGCCAGGGGAGGCAGCGTGACTGGCCATGCCGGTTGTGCTGCTCAGACAGGTCTCTCTGTGGACCAGCTCTGCAGCTCCTCGATGCACAGATGCTGGAATGGCGTGAGACTCACGGCAGCACTGGGTCCCTCCAGGCCCCTCCAGAGGGGCTGACCACAGAGGGAGGCTTCAGACCTGACCGGTTTCCTATCACCAGCTCCAGGTGTTATGGGTTAGATCCAAAATGACCCCGAAAGCCCCACACATATGGAAGGCAACTGAATGGGGAGAGGGGATTCTCATACAAGGATCCACACTTGGATGAGTTCAGTAGCTGAATGTGCTATCAGGGGCGGTGGTCAAAGCACGTGCGGTGGCCAGGCCGGGCACGTCCTTGTCTCCAGCTCCTTCCTTAGCTTTCTGCTTCATGGTCACCATGATCCACAGCCCTCCGCCGCGCTGCCCCCGCACTGGGTGTCACTGCCTTGGACCCAGCCGACTGTGGACTGAACCGGCATAAACCGCTCCTCATTGAAGTTGCGGGTGCTGAGCATTTTGTCCCAAAGGAAGAAAACTGATTAATACAGCATTGCCTCAGGTCACTAATGCTTTAGTTTACAAACAGTGTGTTGGAGAACAAAAGCATCTGGCAAAATTTCGGTTGTACTTGCAAACTCTACGTGAGACCAAGGCCCTCCTCCCTGCACCAGCACAACGTGGCCATCTTCTCTGAAATCATGGAGCAAGTTAAGCTCATGAACCGAGGCATCACTGCACGCCAGCATTCTGTCCCATGAAAGCACTTCACTGAGTGACCCACCGTACAAGGTGACAGTCGCTTAGGGAGAATTCAGAGATGGGGCACTTTGGAAACAGCAGGTTTGTGTGCACCTCACATAAATGAAGAAGAGATTTTTTTTTTTTTTCAGAAAAAGTACTGGGAATTGATTTGCTTTGGAAACTGAACAGACCTTAATCAGTTTTGTTTTAAGAAGAGCTGGGGGGCCAGGGAGATAGCTTGGTGTCTAAGCACCTATTTGGCAAATGCATGGACCCAGGTTCAGTCTCCTTTACCACATTCCATGTCAGCCCCTCCCCATGCTTGCCAAGCCAGCCACCAAAACCGGGCAAGGTAGTGTACTCCTGTAAGCCCAGTGCTGGGGCATGAGGGGGTGGGTAAGACAGAAAGATCACTACAAGTCCAAGCTGTGTAGTGAGACCTTGTACCAAACAAATAAATAAACAGACAGTAGAGCCCTCATGCCTTCCTTAGGATGCATTTGGCCACAAAACGTGACAAGCGTGGCTCCAACCAGCACTGGCACATTCTTCTCGTGCAGCAAGAAGGCCGCAGCCCGGCCCCCCGCACCACATCAGGCTGCGCAGGGGGCTCGGAGGAAACCAGGCTTCTTAGAAGGCCGCAGCCCGGCCCCCCGCACCACATCAGGCTGCGCAGGGGGCTCGGAGGAAACCAGGCTTCTTAATCTCAGAGCACAAGGCTATTTCCTGGTGTTGTGCCCCAGGCAAGGGGACCAGGAACTCAGGTGGACAGAGTCCTCATCAGGAGGGTGGGCTCCCCAGAAACCCAGGCACACCCTGCGCCGCCTCTCAGAGCTGCCCTGACCTCACACTCCAGGCTTTGAGGGGAGGGAGTGATCAAGTCCCCCTCGAGTTAAGACTCTTCAGTGAAACAAACCAAGCTGCTCTCCTGGGCTTCAGGTACACCATAGCGGTGGAGAAGGAAGTTCGCAGAACGCACGGATGAGCTTGGAGTCCTTCGGCATCCAGCTCTCCAGGGGCCCACGGGCTCACCCGCTGTGAAAGCCCAGAGGACATCGTGGGCAGGTGCCCCTCCCGAAGGCTCTCATTTGCATGCTGTCGGCTCTACACTCCGTTCTTCAGTTTTTACAATTTGTCAATGTTAATAATGTGGTGCACAAAGAAAAGTGTTTTCTGCTTCTCTTGAAAACTCAGGGCTTCCTGGCCTGGGCCCGCGCCGGCCTCCGCTCCGCTGCGGTCCCCCGGGTCTGCCCTCCCACCCCGTCCGGCCCGGGTCGCCATGGCCAAGGCTTACGACCACCTCTTCAAACTGCTGCTTATCGGGGACTCGGGGGTGGGCAAGACGTGTCTGATCATTCGCTTTGCGGAGGACAACTTCAACAGCACGCACATCTCCACCATCGGAATTGATTTTAAGATCCGCACCGTGGACATAGAGGGGAAGAAGATCAAACTGCAAGTCTGGGACACGGCTGGCCAGGAGCGATTCAAGACGATAACCACTGCCTACTACCGTGGAGCCATGGGCATCATCCTGGTCTATGACATTACCGATGAAAAATCCTTTGAGAATATTCAGACCTGGATGAAGAGCATCAGAGAGAATGCCTCTGCTGGGGTGGGGCGCCTCCTGCTGGGCAACAAGTGTGACATGGAAGCCAAGAGAAAGGTGCAGAAGGAGCCGGCAGACAAGCTGGCTCGAGAGCACGGAATCCGGTTTTTCGAGACAAGCGCCAAATCCAGCACAAATGTGGATGAGGCTTTCAGTTCCTTGGCCCGGGACATCTTGCTCAAGTCGGGGGCTCGGAGACTGGTGAGTGGGCGCTTCGGGACTGGGTCCCCCTGGGAAGATCCCTGGGAGGATAGGTCCTGGTCTCACCCCCTGATCCCTGGGCTTTCTCCCCACAGGGAGATGGCAGCAAGGTCTCTAGTGGCGCCCTGCAGCCCTACGACAGGAAGAATGCGAGCAAGTGCTCCCTGGGTTGAGGCCCTGTTGCTGCCTACCCGCCCTGAAGGCCAAGCCCAGAGACACAGCAAGAGACATAGCAGGGACTTGGGATAGGTGCACAGGCAGGGAGAAGAAAGGGAAGGGGAGAGAAGAGGTGAGGAAGGCAAGGGAAGGAGAAGGGGGGAAGGATAAAAGTATGTGAGAGATGGAGGGGGCAGGACGGAGGGATGGGGGGGCCTCAGGCCTCTAGGCCTCCGCTATGCCTGGGTTTTCAGGACAAACCTAAATGTAAGTCCCCTGGTTTACTCTGTTACTGGCTGGGGTTCAAATGTCCATCAAGAGACCGGCTGGGCACCACTCTCTGAAGACTTGTCACTTT